TATCAAACATACAATATCGAAGAAACCAAAGAATTATATTGTTACGAAAAGACTACATCCAGGAAACCTTAGTCGTGATGTCTTAATGACGAAACATGATTTGAACACTCCACAAGCTTTATAGTTCGTTCAAAGGGAATCCATGTAATGATGAAAAGTAAAAGCAACACGAGACTGGCCCAAGTCATCTTCTATCGCCAAGAGATGTCGAATAGTGCTAGGTGACCCTCTTGACGAGTTACCACCTGAAAGCCCTAATCACTTTGCCATATCAATGAAGAATCACAATTTATGAGAGTCCAAAGATTTGAGGACGAATCCTTTTGAGAAGTGGGGGAATGATACATGCACCAGAGTCCATAATACATGATTCTTTGGACTAATTTTTCTACTCGAACATATTAGAAGAACAAAATCTCGAAGATTCAAAGCATATCTATTTGGTAAGCATAATGTTAATGAATCATTAAATGATTCTAATGATGCTCCCTTTAATGTTTCATATTCGAGGTCGAATCTTTTTGAAGAAAGGGATGATGATACATGCATCGCAAGGCTCACATCAAAAGAATAAGTAATAACTCTTCCAAATGATTAACTTGTCCAAGCCTTGAAAAAAAAGATCAGAATAGCAGTTGACTTGCGACGACTTTTTAAATTGGATCATGATCTTATTTGGTCAACATGTCTTCTGTATATACAATTGTCTCTCTTATCTTTCCAACAATTTTTGATTTGCATCAATCCGATATCGGGAACTCAAGATTTTTCGTTTTAGTGAAGACAACGTGAAGATACTAAATTTTTTTTACCCATATTATTATTATTAATATTATTATTATCCTTATTATTATTAATATTATTATTATCATTATTATTATTATTATTATTATCATTATTATTAAATATATTAAAAAATAATAATTACAGGCCCAATTACAATTGGACCGGCCCAGTTACAAACCAACCAGAACCGGTCCAAATCCAACCAGAAACCCTAAATATTTGGGTTTCCAGTTAGGTTTCCCTAACCCTAATTGGATCAGCCGCCTCAGCTCACAGCCGTTAGATCTGATAAGATCCAACGGTCTAGATGGTGCCAGAAGGAAACCCTAGGTTTGATACCCTAGGGCCACGCGGCGCCGTTCCAGCTTCCACGCGGCTGCCGACAGCCCTCGCCGCCTCCGCCGCTGCCACGTCCCAACCGAAGACTCCAAAGATCATATACAGCCGTCCATGCAAGGCTACGGGGTGAGTCACCACTGGTAGTCCGATGACTCACCGAGGCCCCCTCTTCGGACCGGTCTGAGACGAACACCGGTGGTGGCTATAAAAGCCACCACCCCATCTGCGAAGAAAAAAGAGGAGAGGACAGAAACTAGAACGAGAACGAAGAAAAGACAGAGAGAAAAAAACAACTAATACCAACGATCTCAGCAGCAAAGAACCAGAAGAAAAAAAAAGAAAAAGGAAGAAGAGACTTACCGAGGAAGCGTTGACCACCGGATCTCGTCAGAACCTTCGAAACATCGAAGGTATTTTTGTAAGATTTGCTCCGATTAGGAGCCTTTTAAAGGAAGAGAACACCGGACCGTCCTTAGGACGGTCCGATCTATCTATCGTATAAAAAATTTTTTTCCGGCCACCGGATGCGGTGGCCGGTGGTGATATTCACGGCGGCCCACGTGGCCGACGGTAACCGGCTTCCTCTCCGATGAGGGAAGCTAGAGAGAGGCAGAGAGTTTAAAACTCTCTCAGTGAAGAGAGAGAGAAGAAAATGGAAATGAAGGTTGGCCCTTCGGCCAGCCTTTTTGGACTCTTATAGTCCTTCCCGAACGACGTCGTTTCGGGAAGGACTATGCGCGTAATTATGAATAGTTAAACCCCGTCCGCAGTCCCTCGTATTTGTAAATTTACATTTTGGTCACTAAACTGAATTTATAATAATTTTAATTCAGTCTTTGAATTTTAATTTTATTCATTTTAGTCCTTTTTATTAAAATAATATATTTAGGATAAATAACAGATTTAATCCCTCAATTTTAATAATAATATTTTAATCCTTAGTTTATTTTTAATTTATTTTATTAATTTATTTTATAAATCCGAATTTTAGATAATTTTATTTATCACTAATTATTAAATAAGAAAATAGCATGTTTAATCCCTATAATTTTGGTTAATTATAAATTAGATTTTTATTTTATTTTTACTGTAATTAGTCAGTTATTTTTATGTTTTCATTTATTTTATTGTTTTAAATATATTGTTTTAGTAGTATGTTTTATTTTTCATATATATAATAAATAGTAATTTTTAAATATTTATTTTAATATCGAGAAAAGGACATCTTAAAACAACTGGATGTTCTATTCTGATGTTTTAAAATTAAAAATTAAACAATATTATTTAAAATTTATCAATATCAAAGAAAAGAGCTTTCTTAAGGCACCTAGTTCTTTTCTGATATTTATAAATAAATAAATATTTTTTATATAATTTTTGAAATAATAGATTATAAATTAAATATATTTTTGAATTTTTAAATTTTAATAATAGAGACAATTTATAATTAAAAAGTACCAATTTTGGGCGTTGTAGGGGTGCTAATCCTTCCCTAAACGTAACCGACCACGAATCCCTTTTTATTATTAAGAACGAGGTTTTTGGTTATAAAACGCAGATCAGTTCATTTTTTAATTGATGTTTTTTTTATAAAACTCTTTTAAAAGAAAAATTTTTAGGTATTCGACCTACCTGATTCAAAGGTCGATGGCGACTCACAAATTATTTTCAAAATTATTTATTCACATCAATTTCCCCGCCAAATTTAATATTTCGTGCCCGGAAAACCCGGTTACGACAGCTTGGCGACTCTGCTGGGGACGGTCAAACTTTTAAAAATTAATTATAAATTGTCTCTATTAATTAAAAATTAAAGTTAATATATTTAATTTTTAATTCTTTCTTTTCAAATTTTTATTTATTTATTATTATTATATATTTATATGTTTTATTTGAAGTATTTTATTTCATTATTATTTATTATTTTATTTTTTTTGTCAAAGGTTTGAGCATTTCTCCTCACACACAACACTTGCATTGCATAACATAAAGCTCTATAATTGAGTTGTCCCTTTTAAGTGGGGGTGAAAGCGACGTCTTCGTGAGAATTTATTCCCGTGTCAGACCTGCAAGTAACTTCCGGGTTCATATGCTCTATGTCTTCGTGAGAATTTATTCTCCGTGTCAATATAGAGAAATGTATCCCCTCGAATTGAACTCGATCCACTTTAGTCTGTGATGGACTAGGGTTGAGGGTTAGCAGCCTAAGGGGGCACTAACATGGACAATTCGAGTACCTTTACTCCTAGATCTGAAACCTGCATATAAAAAAACCTTAGAAACTCTTCCAATCCGAAGTCATGCCGAAATTTTGTCCAATAGGTGTACACACAGAAATGAATTCTGTCTTCCTGTTAATTTATTTATTGTTTAAATTACATGTTTATTTAAATTATTTAAATTTAGAAAAGCAGTTTAATTAAAAATGTTATTATTGAATTTTTTATGTAAACTATTTATTTTCTTTTTTTGTGTTTCTTATTTTTCTGTTGCATTGCATCATACAGGATAAAGACATTGATCCTTGTGTTAATTGTCTCATTGGAAAGCCTTCATCTATGGATAAAAAGTGTTCAAATCAATAATTCTGAACTCAGAAGTAAGACAGTGGGCTGAGGATTTACAAAGACAAGAAGGAGATAGTCTGCAGGATGATTATGTATCTGACTTGGCCAGTTATGCTTCAGTTTCACTAAAAAGAAATGATATGCAAGATTTGCGAAGCATTTGGGAAAAGTTGGGATTCAAACAAAAAATTGCAGTTTTATCAGACTTACGGAGACATCCCATATCTGCTCTATGTAGAAGTTGATGATGAATTACTCCGAGCCCTAGTTCAATTCTGGAATCCAGGGTACAATTGCTTCACTTTCAATAAGGAGGACTTGGTCCCTACTATTGAAGAACACAACTTTGTTACATATCGAAGGGGCTTTGGAGAATCGAATCTATTCAAAGTCAATTAAAACTCAACCCTTCCGAGTTAAATTAGCAAAAATTGCCGGAGTAGAGAAGAATGGTAGCATCCCGTACAAAACAAAAGGCGAAAGCGAAGGCATTGCTTGGACCAACATCAGAGAACTTATTCAGAGCCATCCAGATATTAAAGTACGATTCGATCTATTTGCTCTGGGTATATATGGTATGGTCATCTTCCCAAAAGTATTGGGATATGAAGCTGCAGTGGTAGACTTGTTTGAACAGCTACCGAAGAAGATTAATCCTGTTTCTGCAATCCTAGCAGAGACCTTCAGATCGTTAAATGCTTGTAGAAGACTAGGAGGTGGACGATTCTCAGGGTGTACTCAGTTGTTATATGTGTGGATCCGTAGTCATTTCTGGAAGACAGAAAGGTTTCATACCGACGCTTTAATACGGATTACTCACCCATTAAATAATTTCTGGAGCAGGAATGGCCGAAAGAAATTAAGAAAGATATGTGGATTAATGCCTTCGAAATCTGCAAAGCAATGACATTGTTTGGCGAGCCCCGTGGCAAATACAAAGGGAATTCATTTACAAATGTGGTGATTACAACTGGATAATGCTGCTCGGATTATGGGGAGGAATTGGATATGCACCACTTCTGGTTATAAGACAGTATGAAGGTCGTCAATTTGTACCTGTTACTGCTGGACTACAGTCATCTGAGTTTGCATTCCACAGCAAAATTATAAAAGAAATATCATGGAAGCCGTTACAGCTTGGAAAACAACTTTTGTATCCGAGCTAAAGCAGCAAAAGAATGCTAACTCTTGATTATGAAGAATGGAGATCTGTCAGGAAAATGAAAATATTCCTCTACCAGATCAAAATGAGGATATTTCTATGGAAGATCGCATCAAGGTGGTTCCATCAGAGATTGAAATCCTGAGAGCTGAGTTTGAAGCAGAAAGAGATGGTTGGTCGAAGAGTTAGATCAAATGAGACAAGATAAAACTATGTTGGGGGTTGACATTGACTTTCATTCATCACAATGTGCAATGTTGAGAAAAAATAAAGAAAAAGGTGAGGATGATACAGAGCCTTACAGAAAGATTATCAGGAGTTATATAAATCCCCGAAAGCATCAGGACCTAGCCAATCGACGGTACAGATGACCAGAGAATTGAATATCGAGAAAAAACGGTTGAAGATCTGAAAGGAAGGAATAGCCGTCTACTCAAAAGCCTTGAGAAAGGAAAGCAAAAATGGAAGATTTTGAGGTCGACAGACGAGAGCGAATTATAAACACAAGGCTGAGCATCGCGAGATCATGAATGAAATGCAAAGAGAAAGAGATCGAGACAAAGATTTAGAAGAAATGAAAAATACATCTTTAATAAGTTTGAAGATGAGAAAAATAGCATGTTCAAGGGATTTGAATCTGAATGACCAGTTGATTGCTGAACTTGAAGTCAGAGGCCAAAAGATGGAAGAATCCAATATTGAAAAAAAATGGGAATTAGAAAGAAAAAATTTCAACACCAGACTTGAGGTAGAACAAGAAGTGGCTAGCAATTGGATGCAAAGATGCAAACAAATGTTCAGATCCAGAAGCTTAATCAAAGACGCAGGAACCACAAACAACTGGAAGAAGATCTGGATCAGTCTAGAAACAAAAACTCAGAGTTTAATGCTTACATTTTGCAACTTGAAGAATCATTGTTTCAAGAAAAGGTTCGTCTAGGGCCTAATGACCTCAAAGAAAGTAATGAGGAAAATGCTTCACTGCAAGATGCATTAGAGTCTTGAAAAAATTGCACAAGTCAAGTCAGGATCACTGAGTTAGAGCAGACTCTTGAAAGAACAAATGAACAATGGCAGAAGTCAACTGAGTTCTATGAAAGAAGTGAAGAAAGAAGTAATATGGTGTTCGAGGCCATGGTTCAAATGAGCGAAGTTGCCAGATATGTTGGGGAACTAGCTGTTGAAGCCAAAATAATTGAGCATCAAGTTGATCCAGTTTCTAAGTGTGGAAAGAAGGTTTCATGGTTAATGAAAGAAATTATAGAGCTAATAGGAAAGCTATGCCTTATCTGTAGTTCTGAAATTATAAAGAAACTTTTGTATGCCGATGAATTTCTATGACCAGTTGACTTTTTTGGGATCAATGTTTTTTTACATACATGCATTTTGCATACATTCATCATTCATTTCATAATTTTCGCTATGATTTATTTTATTAAGATAAATTCATTAATTAAAATTTGAAAAAAATAATATTAAAAGATTTTTCAATCGCAGTTACTCTGGCCAAAAGAGAAATACTACATCACTACGGTACTAGACAAGCTACTAAGAGAATTATGGAGGATAAAATACAGCGTATTGAGGAACAGCATCATAAGAACAAGAAGAAATGAATGAAGTTGGAAAAAATTGAAGCCGCATTACAAATTCACAAGACAGTATGAAGAAGATAGAGGACATGTTTAAAAGGCAGGCTATCAGTGGAAAAATGCATGAAAATCCTGTATCTTTTGACCAAGAACCCATATACCCTCTAGGTTTTCCACCAGAACCAATTTATCACTCTGGTACTACCCCTATACAAATCAATGCTCGTACATCTGCGTTACAAGAAGTCAAACCACATGAGGATCAACAAGTGGATCCTGCATCTTCAAGCAAAATCCGCTTATATCCGATGTGAAAATAGGGGATCTTAATACTGAGCATTTGATCCCAGATTTGAATGAGCTGAATGAGAAACAAAAAGTAAATGAAGAACTGACCAGACAGATCAAGAGCTTAGAAGAACGAATGAAATCTGTAGAAATAACTGAATCATTCTATGGGTTTGATGCTAGTGAGTTGAGTTTGGTTCCAGACCTAATCCTCCCTATCAAGTTTAAAGCTCCCGAATTTGATAATATAACGGTACTACATGCCCTTCATCCCACATTACTATGTTTTGTCGAAGAATGGCAGGATATGTGAAGGACGAGAAATTGTTAATTCACTGCTTCCAGGATAGTTTGACAGGACCGGCTTTAAAATGGTATACTCAATTGACCAAAGCCAACATTAGATCCTGGAAAGATTTGGCTAAAGCATTTTTAGAGCAGTATCGCCATGTAACAGACATGGTTCCTGATAGATGGACTCTCCAAAATTTGGAGAAAAAGAATAATGAAACATTCAGACAGTATGCCCAGAGATGGTGACACTGCGGCCCAAGTTCAACCACCTTTGTCAGAAAAAGAGGCCACAGTGATGTTTGTCCATACATTGAAGGCTCCTTATTTAAACCATCTAATGGGGAATGCAACCAGAAATTTTGCAGATTTGGTCATTTCTGGAGAATTAATTGAAAATGTCTTGAAAAGTGGCAAGATTGAATCAAATGATGGGTCTAGTTCCAAAAGACCTGCATACCGAAAAAAGGAGAATGAGGTCAACAATGCCAATTCTTACAGCAAAGATTCATCGAAAAGTGTTACAATAACCCAGCCAAGGGTTAAGAAAGAGGAAACAAACACTAATCGAGCAGAGTCCAGAGGATCTCGAAAAGAAAATGAAAGTTGTCTTTTACACCTTTACCAGTACCGTATGCAGAGATCTATGATTCGCTGTTAAAAGCAGATGTTATACGGCCTTATCCCTTGGTTCCCATGCAACCACCATTCCCTCCTTGGTATGATACAAAGGCACACTGTGTTTACCATGAAGGAATTACAGGTCATTCCATTGAAAACTGTTTAGCATTCAAAAGGGTGGTTCAAAATTTGATCAACACTGGGAAGTTGGAATTCAATACACCATCTGTATCAATCATCCATTGCCAAATCATGGAGATAAAAACGTAAATGCAATTCAGGAAGAGAACAGAAAGAAAGCAAAAACTGACATTTCTGAAATTAAATCTCCTTTTGTTTGGGTATTCCAACAACTCTCTGTAGCCGGTATAATTCCACAACAATTCAGGCCAAAGCAGAATGAAGGCAAGAATTATTGTGAATATCATCAGGAGCAAGGGCATAAAATTCAATTATGTCCTGAGTTTAGGATTTGGTGCAAAAATTGATGAACAACAGGGAAATAGAATTCTTTGAAGAAGAGCCAGGAGAAAAGAAGATAATGTTTGCTCATCAGAGGATTCTAAACCAAGTCAAAGAATAAATGATCCTGTGATCATCAATGTAAAAACATCTACGGTGATTCCTGCACCAATAAAGCCGAAAGTAGTTATCACCACTCCTCTACCATTTCCATATAAAGATACCCGCAGGGTACCTTGGAATTATACTACTAATGTTTCAATGGTAGGAGGACCTGTTTCTTTAGAAAAACGAGAAAATACAAAGCCTGAGTACAACATCGTCGTCTGAAGCAGTGAGCGAGGTCGGTTTCTTTACAAGAAGTGGGAGATGTTACTCTCCCGAAACATCCAATGCTTCAGAACAAGCGAAAGCAAAAGGAAAAGCCGTGACAATACCTCATAAGGTATTTGAGGATGAATCCCCTCCAGCATTTAATGAGCCTGTGACAGAAAAACAAGCCCAAGAATTTTTGAAATTTTTGAAACATAGTGAGTATAGTGTGGTTGAACAACTACACAAACAACAAGCGAGAATTTCTATTCTTGATCTATTGATGAATTCAGAAGCACATAGAAATGCTTTGATGAAAATCCTCAATCAAACATTTATCCCCGAAGATATATCCTCAATAAACTTGACAGAATTGTGGGACATATAGCCGCTGACAATTACTAACGTTCACAGATGATGAAATACCGGAAGGCGGAATGGGTCAGTAAAAGCTTTGAACATCACGACACATTGTCATGGTCATGTGTTGCCAGGAGTATTGATTGACAATGGATCTGCTCTCAACTTAATGCCCCTAGTTACACTTCAAAGAATGCCTCTGGATCAATCACACATGAAGAGTTATCAGAATGTGGTACGAGCATTTGATGGTACTAAAAAAGAAGTGCTTGGGAAAATGGAAATACCATTGTTAATCGGCCCAGTCGTGTACAATATTGACTTTGTGGTGATGGACATCCATCCCACATATAATTGTCTATTAGGGAGGCCATGGATTCATTCAGCAGGAGCCGTTCCTTCTTCATTACATCAGAAATTGAAATTGTTGTTGATGGACAACTAATATGCGTCAGTGCTGAAGAAGAAATCATTGCGTCTGTAACAAGCGATGTTCCATATATCGACACCAATGATGAGGCTCTTGAATGCTCTTTTCGAGCTCTTGAATTTGTAAATGCAACCTTTATTGCAGAAGGAAGCAAAATTCCATATCCCAGACTGTCTGATTGCACCAAGATGACGGTACAACAACTTTAGGCATCGGAGCTAAACTGGGAGAGGTCTAGGAAAGATCTTCAAGGGATTTCAGTTCCTATCAGTATAAGATGAAAAAAGACCGTTTTGGGCTAGGGTTTAAGCCCAATCTTCAGCAAAGAACAAAGAGATGAAAAGAAGATGTGAAGACAGAAAGGCAAAATTGAAAGGGGGGGAAATCTTTTGGAAACACATGTCTTTCCCACAGTTGAAGACCACATTCAGATCAGGGGAACAATTAATGTGGAACAGCAGCTTGTTGAAGCCTTTAAAGAAGAAAAGTTGACGAAAGATCAAGACATAGTTGAAGAAGCTATGAATGGATTATTTATCAACATGATCATGAATGACAACAAAACTGGCAAATACTTGGATAGGATTCGCCCATGTCTTCCTGGAGAAACACTCATCAATTGGACCGCTGAAGATCTTCCCATAGTTTTTAATATTAATACAGAGTAATATTCAGAACTAATCTTTATGTTTAGCTCAAAAATATGAAAACTTTTTGTTATCTTGTAAAAGAAATTATGTTAAATATAAGAAACTTTCTTTAAAATTTTCAGATGGCAATCATTCTTTACATTTTCTTTACATTTTTACATTTATTTATTTCATAAATTTACTATATTCTTTCGGAAATATGTCCGACTTAAATTTGCAGGTGTCACAGTGTTAATAGCATGTTTATTCCTAGATTTAATCCAGTGATAAATTTAGAGCAGCCTATATGTCTGGAAGAAATCAATGGTTGTGAAGATGAACTGGAATGTGATGTTCCTACTGAATTATTAAGATTGGTAGAAAAAGAGGACAAACAAATTCTACCACACAAAGAAGAGGTTGAGACTGTGAATTTGGGAACAGATGAAGAAAGAAAAGAGGTGAAAATTGGCACTACTCTGACAATCCAGATAAGCAAGAATTGATAAATCTCCTTCAAGAGTTCAAAGATATCTTTGCCTGGTCTTATCAAGATATGCCTGGTTTGAGCACAGATATAGTGATACACAAGCTTCCAATCAATCCAGAATATAAACCGGTTCAACAAAAGCTCAGAAGAATGAGGCCAGAAATGTTGTTGCAAATCAAAGAAGAAGTAATGAAACAAATCAATGCAGGTTTCCTACAAGCATCTAAATACCCAGAATGGGTAGCCAACATTGTTCCCGTACCAAAGAAAATGGGAAAGTTCGAATGTGTGTGGATTACAGAGATCTCAACAAAGCTAGTCCGAAAGATAGCTTTCCCTTACCCCACATAGACACATTGGTGGATAATACTGCAGGACATGCATGGTTTTCATTTATGGATGGATTTTCAGGATATAATCAGATAAAATGAATCCTGAAGACATGGAAAAAACAACATTTATAACCATGTGGGGCACATTCTGTTATAAAGTGATGCCATTTGGATTGAAAAATGCAGGGGCAACGTATCAAAGAGCCATGGTAACTTTGTTTCATGACATGATGCACAAAGAGATTGAAGTATATGTAGATGACATGATTGCCAAATCCAGAACGGAAGAAGAACATATTCAAAATCTGAGAAAGCTTTTCCAGAGATTGAGGAAATATCAATTAAAGCTCAACCCCGCAAAATGCACTTTGGGGTAACTTCCGGGAAGCTTTTGGGATTTGTAGTCAGCAAAAAAGGAATCGAGATTGATCCAGATAAAGTCAAAGCAATTCAAGATCTTCCACCACCCAATACAAAAAAGAAGTTCGAGGTTTTTTGGGAAGGTTAAATTATATATCTCGGTTCATTTCTCAATTAACTGACAAATGTGATCCAGTGTTCAAATTACTTCAAAAGAACAATCCTGAAGTCTGGAATGAAGAATGTCAAGAAACTTTGGATATTATTAAGAGAATACTTATCCAATGCCCAATTTTAGTATCACCAATGCCTGATAGACCATTAATTCTCTATTTGACGGTCTTCGAAAATTCGATGGGATGTGTACTAGGACAGCATGATGAATCAGGAAGGAAAGAAAAAGCTATTTATTATCTGAGCAAAAAATTTACTGATTGTGAAGTTCGATATCCACAATACAAAAATTATGTTGTGCCTTGGTGTGGGCTACTCGAAGACTCAGACAATATATGTTATACCATACTACTTGGTTGATATCCAAACTTGATCCTTAAAGTTCTTAATGGAATCACCAGCTTTGACAGGCAGAATGGCTAGATGGCAGATGTTATTATCTGAGTTTGACATTATCTATGTCAACCAAAAAGCGATAAAAGGAAGTGTCATAGCTGATTTTCTGGCCAGTCGTGTATCAAATGATTATCAGCCTTTGAACTTCAATTTTCCCGATGAAGATCTGTTGTGCATATCCATGAATGAAGAAGTCAGAACAAATGATGATTTGCAACTTGGAAGCTTTATTTTGACGGAGCATCTAATGCTTTGGACGAGGAATTGGGGCAGTGTTAATTTCTCCAGAAAATGTTTATTATCCCTTTACAAGTAGACTGGAGTAGTCTTTTGCACCAATAACATGGCGGAATATGAAGCTTGTGTCATGGGATTGAAAGCAGCTATAGAAAGAAAAATCAAATTTCTCAAGATATATGGAGATTCATCTTTAGTGGTGTATCAATTGCGAGGAGAATGGGAAACAAAAGATCCCAAATTGTTGGAATATCGAAGTTTTACCCTCGAATTATTGAAAGAATTTGAGAGGGTTACCTTCGATTATCTCCCTCGAGAAGAAAATCAAATGGCAGATGCTTTGGCTACATTAGCTGCTATGTTTCAGGCAACTCAGAAGGTTGATATGATGCCAATCAAATGCAAGTATATGAAATTCCTGCACATTGTTATAGTGTGGAAGAAGAGGTAGATGGTAAACCATGGTATCATGATATCCTGCAATATATCAAAAATCAAAGTTATCCACCAAATGCATCGGAAATTGATAAAAGAACCTTGAAAGAATGGCTGCTGGATATTTTCTTGATGGAGAGATTATGTATAGAAGAAGCAATGATCAAATGCTATTGAGATGTTTAAATACCAGCGAAGCTCGAAACGTCATTGAAGAAGTACACAGTGGAATATGTGGAACACATGCAAATGGTCTTTCTATGGCCAGAAAATAATGAGTATGGATACTATTGGGCTACCATGTACACAGATTGCATTGATTACGCAAGGAAATGTCATAAATGCCAGATATATGCAGACAAGATTCATGTACCCCCATCTCCTTTACATGTAATGACAGCACCCTGGCCATTTTCTATGTGGGGAATAGACTCATTGGGGCAATCACACCAAAAGCATCGAATGGACATTGCTCATCCTTGTGGCAATTGATTATTTTACCAAATGGGTTGAAGCTGCTTCATACACCAATATTAAGAGGTCCACAGTCTGCAAATTCATAAAGAAAGAGATAGTTTGCCGATATGGCCTACCAGAAAGGATCATTACAGATAATGCTCTGAACCTGAACAACAAAATGATGACCGAACTTTGTGCACAGTTCAAGATCAAACATGCAAACTCAGTGGCATATCGTCCAAAGATGAACGGGGCAGTTGAAGCAGCAAATAAGAACATCAAGAGAATCATTACAAAGACTACTGAAACTTACAAAGATTGGCACGAGAAGTTACCTTTTGCTCTATATGCATACCGAACTACTGTTCGAACATCTACTGGGGCAACACCGTTTTCTTTAGTCTACGGGATGGAAGCAGTCTTACCAATTGAAGTTGAGATTCCATCGCTCCGAATATTGAGAGAAACAAAATTGGATGAATCTGAATGGATCCAAGCTAGAGTTGATCAATTGAACCTTGTTGAGGAGAAAAGATTGAAAGCTATTTGCCATGGACAGATGTATCAAAACGGATGATGAAGTCTCATGATAAAAAAGTACATCCAAGAGAATTCCAAGAGGGTGATCTAGTACTAAAAAGATCTTGCCTATACATAAAGACTTCCGTGGGAAATGGATGCCTAATTGGGAAGGGCCATACATTGTGAAAAAGGCTTTTTCTGGAGGAGCGTTGATCTTGGCAGAAATGGATGGAAAAATTCTGAAAAATCCAATAAACTCGGATTCTGTCAAGAAATATTATGCTTGAAGAGAAAAAAGAAGAAAAAAGAGAAAAAAAAATAGAAAATGAAAAAGAAAAAAAAAGAAGAAAAAAAGGAAAAAAGAAAAAGGGGGTTAAGGTGAAAACCCGCAAAGGGCATCTTGTAATCAAAGGAAGGATTTGAGTTGAAAACCTGAAAAGGCGGCTCAAATGCAGGTTGATATTAGGCATCCGGCAATTGAATTCTCTTAAGATTTTGACAGTTTGGAAGAAACTTCACATCTACAAGCATTTTGACAACGTTTGAGATCTTCCAGACAAAAGCTTACATCATTACTCTAAATTGTGTCAACTTGATTAATTTAGAAATACTTATGCTTATAATTTGTTGAGACATTTGAATTTTTATCATTCTTATGTTTGCCATAACTTTGAATACAATTCTATCTATTTCAAGTTCAATTTATTTGAGAGACAATTTATTTTTGGAAATTCAATTTATTCTTTTCTATTGAATTAACATAATTTTGAAATAATTTAAAGATTTCTGAATATCACTTTATGTTAATACTTTTAAATACATGGAATACAAAGTAGGCAAATCATCACTAGCTTAAAGCCATGAACATCAAGATTGTTACAAGTGGTGCTACCGACAACAAGGTCGAATCCGCCAAATCTACTCATCAATGGCTCCAACCGATCACCATTCAGTTCTTGCACATCTGTTTTCAAAGATATACTAAGACAATAGAAGGCGATCTTTGCAATACTGATTCCAGCAAAAAAGAAACAAGACATTGATATCACTGGGAAATATGTCTCTAAACAGATCCTTATGTATGGTTTTTAAGGAAACCTAGAAGTATTTCCACCTCATCAGGTTCAAGTGGAGCAACTTTATTCCTTCCAACCCATACTAGATTCCATTTTCAGCATTCATTAAGAACATACTTCTGGACACTCTAAGGTGGCTCATTGTCATAAGCTTCAAGAACCTTACAGATCCTTTCTGTCAATTTGGCACTTCCTGTACATGTTTATAAACAGTTTAACTTTATTCTTGGATTCCAAGAAGGCCATCATTTCTTTGTCAATGGAAAAGCATCAGCACATGAAAGAAGCAGAATAAGAGAAACTCTGTTGGCAGATTATGAATATAGCCTTTTTTAGTGTAGCAGCATGGAAATGCTTCGAATCTACAAATTCTGGCTTTACATCGAATAAGTACTGTGATATCCCAGTCCAAACATTAAATGGAAGATGAATTTACCAATAGCATCTTCTGGAAGTGTTCTTTGAGTTATCTGACCTGGTTTAACAGAACCAATCATTGAATTTGGAAGATGAATTTACCAATAGCATCTTCTGGAAGTGTTCTTTGAGTTATCTGACCTGGTTTAGCAGAACAATCATTGAATTTAGAAGATGAATTTGCCAATAGCATCTTCTGGAAGTGTTCGTTGAGTTATTTGATCTAATTTTAACAGAACCAATCATTGAATTTGGAAGATGAATTTACCAATAGCATCTTCTGGAAGTGTTCTTTGAGTTATCTGACCTGGTTGGACAGAACAATCATTGAATTTGGAAGATGAATTTGCCAATAGCATCTTCTGGAAGTGTTCTTTGAGTTATCTGATTTGGTTGGACAGAACAATCATTGAATTTGGAAGATGAATTTGCTCATAGTAAAAATAAGGATACTCAATAGCATCTTCTGGAAGTGTTCTTTGAGTTATTTGATCTGAAGAAGTGCATCAGCAGCCTTAGTCATTTGAGCAGCATATAAAATTTGCCAATTCTGCAATTAATGAATTTGGACCACACATCTCTACATGGCTATTGAAGCTTCAGCCTTTGAGAATCCCATTTTTGTCAAGTATAACAGTTTATTCTCCTCATCAGAATCAGAATTCAAGATTTCTCGGTATTAGAAGAACTATCGATATCTGTGAAATCATCTTGAAAGGTTACTTCATAATCAGATGAGTTGTTATCAGAATCAACATGTTGCCTGAATGCAAGCTTTTCAAGAGCCTATACTATTGAGTTTTATTCTCAAGAGATTTTTGTGACATTATATCTACAATTGTCAAAGATGATAGATTTCTTTCATTTGAAGAAGAAAAATCTATTGGGTTTTTACAATTGAAGAAATACTCAATTCACCAATCTGAAATCAAATAACTCAACATTCATGCATCATATTTTAAGTGTTTACAAAAATAGGTGCATTTTCATTCATTTTCATCTATGTTGAATTTTTAACTGGAATTTCAAAGATTTTAGCAAAGATTCAAATCCATCACTTGATGGAGCAGCTTTTCCAGAGAAGTTCATAATGAGAAGAACTCATCTGAAGAAGGAAGAAGAAATTCATAATGAGAAGAATTTGTTCAACCTTTTACCTGAATTCATCACTTGATGGATTATTTTTGCCAGAGAAGGTTCATAATGAGAAGAACTCATCTGAAGAAGGAAGAAGAAATTCATAATGAGAAGAATTTGTTCAACCTTTTACCTGAATTCATCACTTGATGGATTATTTTTGCCAGAGAAGGTTCATAATGAGAAGAACTCATCTGAAGAAGGAAGAAGAAATTCATAATGAGAAGAATTTGTTCAACCTTTTACCTGAATCCATCATTTGGTGGATCATCTTTTCCAGAGAAAGTTCATAATGAGAAGAACTCATCTGAAGAAGGAAGAAGAAGTTCATAATGAGAAGAATTTGTTCAACCTTTTGCTTGAATTCATCATTTGATGGATCAACATTGCCAGGTAAAGTTCATAATGAGAAGAACTCATCTGAAGAAGGAAGAAGAAGTTCATAATGAGAAGAATTTGTTCAACCTTTTGCTTGAATTCATCATTTGATGGATCAACATTGCCAGGTAAAGTTCATAATGAGAAGAACTCATCTGAAGAAGGAAGAAAAAGTTCATAATGAGAAGAACTCATCAAGAGCTTATTCAACCTTTTGAACGACTCTATCACAAAAAGGAGGTCATCATCATCCCCAGCAGAAAGTTCATAATAAGAAGAACTTATTTGGAGAAAAAGAAGAATTTATTCAATATCTCCATAATGATCAAAGTAAAGTCAAATGGATAAAAAATTTTATTATCTTTTCATCTTTGCCCTATTCTTGTTAACACAAGAATGAGCAAAGAGGGGCAGCTGAAGATACTAAATTTTTTTTACCCATATTATTATTATTAATATTATTATTATCCTTATTATTATTAATATTATTATTATCATTATTATTATTATTATTATTATTATTATTATTATTATTATCATTATTATTATTATTATTAAATATATTAAAAAATAATAATTACAGGCCCAATTACAATTGGACCGGCCCAGTTACAAACCAACCAGAATCGGTCCAAATCCAACCAGAAACCCTAAATATTTGGGTTTCCAGTTAGGGTTTCCTAACCCTAATTTGATCAGCCGCCTCAGCTCACAGCCGTTGAATCTGATAAGATCCAACGGTCTAGATGGTGCCAGAAGGAAACCCTAGGGTTTGATACCCTAGGGCCACGCGGCGCCGTTCCAGCTTCCACGCGGCTGCCGACAGCCCTCGCCGCCTCCGCCGCTGCCACGTCCCAACCGAAGACTCCAGAAGATCATATACCAGCCGTCCATGCAAGGCTACGGGGTGAGTCACCACTGGTAGTCCGATGACTCACCGAGGCCCCCTCTTCGGACCGGTCTGAGACGAACACCGGTGGTGGCTATAAAAGCCACCACCCCATCTGCGAAGAAAAAAGAGGAGAGGACAAAAACTAGAAACAGAGAACGGAGAAGAAAAAGACAGAGAAAAAAAAACAAACTAATACCAACGATCTCAGCAGCAAAGAACCAGAAGAAAAAAAAGAGAGAAAAAGGAAGAAGAGACTTACCGAGGAAGCGTTGACCACCGGATCTCGTCAGAACCTTCGAAACATCGAAGGTATTTTTGTAAGATTTGCTCCGATTAGGAGCCTTTTAAAGGAAGAGAACACCGGGACCGTCCTTACGGTCCGATCTATCTATTCGTATAAAAATATTTTTTTCCGGCCACCGGATGCGGTGGCCGGCGGTGATATTCACGGCGGCCCACGGTGGCCGACCGGTAACCGGCTTCCCTCCGATGAGGGAAGCTAGAGAGAAGGCAGAGAGTTTAAAACTCTCTCAGTGAAGAGAGAGAAGAAAATGGAAAATGAAGGTTGGCCCTTCGGGCCATCCGGTTTTGGACTCTTATAGTCCTTCCCGAACGACGTCGTTTCGGGAAGGACTATGCGCGTAATTATGAAATAGTTAAACCCCGTCCGCAGTCCCTCGTATTTGTAAATTTTACATTTTGGTCACTAAACTGAATTTATAATAATTTTAATTCAGTCTTTGAATTTTAATTTTATTCATTTTAGTCCTTTTTATTAAAATAATATATTTAGGATAAATAACAGATTTAATCCCTCAATTTTAATAAATAATATTTTAATCCTTAGTTTATATTTTAATTTATTTTATTATAATATCCGAATTTAGATAATTTTATTTTAGTCACTAAATTATTAAATAAGAAAATAGCATGTTTAATCCCTATAATTTTGGTTAATTATAAATTAGATTTTTAATTTTATTTTTACTGTAATTTAGTCAGTTATTTTATATGTTTTCATTTATTTTATTGTTTTTAAATATATTGTTTTAGTAGTATGTTTTATTTTTTCATATATATATAATAATAAATAGTAATTTTTAAATATTTATTTTAATATCGAAGAAAAGGACAGTCTTAAAACAACTGGATGTTCTATTCTGATGTTTTAAAATTAAAAATTAAACAATATTATTTAAAATTTATCAATATCAAAGAAAAGAGCTGTCTTAAGGCACCTAGAAGTTCTTTTCTGATATTTATAAATAAAATAAATATTTTTTATATAATTTTGAAATAATAAGATTATAAATTAAATATATTTTTGAATTTTTAAATTTTAATAATAAGAGACAATTTATAATTAAAAAGTACCAATTTTGGGCGTTGTAGGGGTGCTAATTCTTCCCTAAACGTAACCGACCACGAATCCCTTTTTATTATTAAGAACGAGTTTTTGGTTATAAAACGCAGATCAGTTCATTTTTTAATTGATGTTTTTTTTATAAAAACTCTTTTAAAAGAAAAATTTTTAGGTATTCGACCTACCTGATTCAAAAGGTCGATGGCGACTCACAAATTATTTTCAAAATTATTTATTCACATCAATTTCCCCGCCAAATTTAATATTTCGTGCCCGGACGAAAACCGGTTACGACACAACGCATGCAATTTCATTAATACGTGATTTTGTAAATATTACGAATTTTTAATATTTATATTGATTATTTGTAATATAATTTAATATAGGATGATACATTATCTTTTAGGATTAGATTTATTATTTTATTAGAAATTAAGGATGAGTTAAAACATTAACTTTAGATATTATTATTTTATTAGGAATTAGAGTCAAGACATGTTTAGTTTGTTATTATTTTATTAATTAGTTATTTAAGACCTTTAGAACTGAGTCCCTATATAAAGTAGACTTCATTCAACTTTATAATTCAGATTTATTTGATTAATAATACAACGAGAGTTCGTTTTTGCAAGTGTTGATTGTCTTGTGCCTTCGAAGCTTCTTCTCCTGGAGTTCTTTCAAGTTCATGTGAGGGAGATTAATCTTCACACTCCAATTTTTCTTTTCATCGCGACTAGGAGGGTTGGTTAGAGCCATATTATCGTGTTTGTCTTTTCATTACGACTAGGATGGCTCGATAAGACATTATCCATCGATTTTCCACATATCCATCCACACCATCAATCATTTGTATCGTTTACCTTCATAAAGGAGATCTTTTAATTTATTGGTTATCTTACTTTATTTTCAATTTCTTTATCTTTTCTTTATCTTGTTTTAATCTTATTTCTTACCTTGTTTCCAACACCTAAAAGAAACCCTAAGAACCCTATTTGTTGCCACCACATTCCTCTATTCATTCCCCATTGTTCTTCACCGAGTCTAGAACTTTCTAGGTTTGATTCTTCAACAAGAACAACGCTCATTAACCCACCACCGATTCCCTATCAATAATGCACACCAGGTGCCCACATCACATGCATAATATATTCCACTCGAAATCCCACTTGTCGTGTAGATCACCCGTTCTGCAAAAGCCTGCATAAAAGCAACTAAGTTTTTGACTAAAAAACAACTATCAAAGGATGAGTAAGCAAGTTCATGTTGGATTATTAGAATTAGTTCAATTCCAATGCTTAATGTTCCTTTACTCAAAAGTTGGTTGATATTAGTTATCTCAAAAATACCATTACTATGTCAAAACTTTTTCGGCATATTAATACCCTTCCAATTAATGGTTATGAATGCCTTTGAACTGCTAAATGCTAATGATTCATCACAAAAGACAATCAACATTTTCGTCAGAAATATAAATCATATGAAAATGCAAGTGAGCCCATGACATATATGGAGCTTTACCTTCTGCCTGAGAGCCCAAAAAGCAGGAAGCACTGCTGCACCATTTGACGTTATTAGAGCAATTGATTGCCATATGTGTCCTGCATCAGTTTCCAAGTACAGGATTGTCTAAATTTGATTTAATAGAATTACATGATACCAACCCATGGAATTCATCTCAAATGAAAAAAAAAACTAATAAACCTTTTCCAAAGCTAGAGAGTACAAGACCCATCTAAAAGGATATGCAGCTTTTTGATGTAATTGACTCATAAGTGCCTGATCATAAACTTACGTTGGTGTTAGTATAGACTGAGTCAATGATTACAGGCTTTGTCAATCTCAACCCCTCCTCCGACCCCCCAAGAAGAAGAAAAAAATTGAACAACTGCATCAAGTAGACATATGGTCTAAATATTTTTTTTTGAAACTAATCACATCCTGGAAAGAGAATAAATCTCTACTTTGGAACTATAAACAATAATGTTGATGAAAGTTAGTGGAGGGATGTCAGACACATTTTTGCATTCAACCCCAAAAAGAATTTACCTTGATGCGATACAATCTCAATACTACAATCAAAGCCTCCATGGTTCCGGTCACAGGCACAAAAGCTGAGAAACAGAAAATAGTGCAATTAAAAGGAAATGAAGAATGCACTTCAGACATTCATTGTGTCCTTAAGCAAGGAATTACATATAAATAAAATATTTTCAATAGAAAAAGGTATAAAAATGTGGAGATGGCTAATACCTGTATGATGTTAATCCACTTGCATCAAGAGCAGATCTGCAATCACCATGATAGGAGCACCTTTTCGGGCATCTTTCAAGTGAAATAGGCATAGTAGTCTGCCTGATGGAAGTGCCACCAGTGCTGTTTGGATTCCTTAATGCAATATTCCAGATTCTTTCCTTAATGTACAAGATGTAAAAATCGACCTTTTCTTCACCTGAACTGTACAATACAAAAAACATGGAGCCGTGACTGCTTCTTGACTTGTTTGCATAATAGAAGTCCCAGTTAACAAGTGATGGCAATCCACCGTTTCCAACATATACTTCATGATTTATCTTTCTTTCAGACATCAGCCGAACATGGAGATTTCCACCAGTTGCACCACGAGGAATGTCCAGAGTAAAATAAGTCCAGGTATCTACTCCAAATGAGTTGTTGCTTAAAAGGGGCTCAAGATGAAAATCGGCACCACCCAACATCACTTTCTCACTGTATGGCAAAAAATAGGATTCAAAAGGGGTGGAATCTTTCCTGAGAACCGTCTGCATTCAACCATTCTCAGCGTGTCAATAACTTACTACTGCGAATGAGTTTCTTCGAGCATCAACAGAAGGAAAAGATAGTCTAGGAATAAAACTGTTCATAAATCTAATTAAAAATAATAATAACACTAAAATGGAAATCAGAAATCAATGGTTGCATCTCGTTACTCTATGTCCAAGTGAAAAATTAGAAGGTAGAATTTCAAAACCAAAATTTGGCCCCTCTTTGCTTAAATGAGTTTTCTTTGAACAATCCTCGGTATTTAAGGCCATAAATTTGATTGAAGTTTCACCCTTTCAGTCCTTGATATCAGACTGTCAAGATATGGTGTCCAATCGCCCACAAATGAAATTTAGACCGTCATCTTCTTATTGTTAGTTTTGTGTCACCACTAACAAGCAAGTAAATCATTTCTCTTTCTATTCTTCAGACCTGATATCTACTTTATCCTCAAAGATGTGAATGATATTATTCAATGCACAGAATTTCACAGAAAAGCATCATAGTATAAAGCTAAAAAATGAAAAAATAAATTGAATCAATGAAACTTATAAAGAAGGAAGTGAACAGAGATTAAGCGAACAGGGATTACATATAACACATTTCTTGACAATGCCCACCTGAAGCATGTATCTTTCAGATAAACAGTTTGGCCCAGCCTTCCCCAATGGACATTCAAGCTCTTGTAGATGAAGGGAATAGCAAACTTTTGAGACATTACTTTGGGACCCACCAATTACCTTCGAGAGATTGTGGGCTAGAACAGAAATATACCACAGACCAACCTTTGGGGAGTTAATGACCAAGGGGGATTTATTTAAGTTACCAGAATAATCATGTAGCTGAAGGCATAGCACCATAACGAGCATAGCATATCAAGTCAATTCCGCTAGTATTCAGAGTGTTACTTAAAGGTCTTAACCTTACATTTTCCGCTGAAATGGTTAAGAATTCAGATATTCGTAGTATCTCTAAGGTGTATATTTTCATTTCTTCATCTTCAAGGCAAGAGGTCTCAAATTGTTCCTGCAAGAAACCATGCTTTGATTGAAGAGCCCAGATGCAGAACCATTTCCAGAATTATTGCGAGATAGACCACATGAAAGCTGTTCAACAGTTTGGTTGCAATATTGCCCATGCATTGTTGAGGTTACACATCCTTCCACGGTGATATTGGCCGCAAAGGAGTAAGAAGGGCCTTGATGTTCAACGGTTCTTGATCCATACCACAATGATATCCATATGTCTGAAATGGGTCATTGTATGTGAATCGCTAAAAGCATCGCCTCGTCGCCTCTCGCCGCCTCCGACGACTGAATCTCCGCCTCATGTACTCGCCGCCGCCTTGGTGGTCGGAGGCTTTCTTCTAAACGCCTCGCCTAGCGCCTCAAAGCGCCTTAGGCGCGCTTTTTAAAACACTGAGTGTAATACTTGCCCAAGGATTCAGTTAAACAAATTACACAAGAATCCACTTTATTTTAAGGATGTAAAGATGGCATCTCTTTGGCATAAAATACATTTGATAATGATAGCAAACCTTCTCATTTGTCAACTCCATTGTCATATTTCTTGGTACAGGATAACACTGCTCTGAATTTTGCAGTACTTGTGTTCCTTCAAAAGAGCTGTTAGATAGTGAGACTAGTTCTGCAACATAAGAAAATCTTAAAACTTCTAGTCACTTGGGTTCATGAAGTTAGTAATTATAGAAGAAATAAATATTTATGTTTGTTTGCAAGATACCTCTTAATTAAGTGTTTGAGACATCTGGCAACGGGAGGCTGCCTTCTCTGAAACATATCATCGGCAGCACACTTTTAGGAACTTTTTCAACACTTTTAATATCCTGCAAGAAGTTCGAAGCATAAGCAAAAGAGATAAGAAAGAGTTGAAATAATTTTAACACTTTGCATTAATAAAAAAAGTAGAAATGTAGCATAAACAAACAGAATAAATTAAACAATACTGATTAACCTAATAACCTAATCATATTGGATAAGTTTACTTTCAAGGTTGACACTTGGCTTCGATGCTATTGACATAGAGGAGAACCAAGGGGGTAAATCAACTGAGACAAGGCAAATTGTAAACCGAAGGAGGCATTACACATTAAAGTAACTAGAAAAGTAATACTATCTGATTCATCATCATAGTTTCTGAACCACTCCCATTTTCCAATTCACAACAGATTGGACTAAAAATAGCACAAAACATTTAACTTCCTTTTCTCTCCTGCATACGAGTTGCTGGGAATAACACTTCCTAGCTGCCCATAAAAGGAAACAAATCTAATAACCATTATGACAGAAAGGAACGCCTTCAAACTTGATAGTTCCAAATCATTGTTTCTATAGCTAATTTAACTTAGTCCTGCTGAGGCATAATTGCAATCAAATATGATGTAATACTTGAGTTAAAAGGAAGAAAACTTACACTAAAAATCAAAATTGACTAGGAGAATTCTAATATTTTGCTATCATCATTAAAATAGACAAATAAGATTGAGGGAAAAAACAAACAAACAAAGAACGTGTAAATTAAAATTAGCAACAATAAGTAGAAACAACAATCCAATCACTTAAGCTGAAGTTAAAACTTCAACAACCACTCATCAATCAGAGCAGTTTATAACAAAACCATTAAGAAAAAACAAAGCAAATTGACCCGAAATGGCTAATAAAAAAGACAGCGAAAATAGTTTTACGTACCTCATTTATAACGCATAGCAAAAGGTCTGATCTGGGTTTCTGGGTATTTGAAGCTAGATATATTGAAGGTGTTATATTCGCCATGTTGCTCAATTGAATTACAGTGCCAAATAAACAAGAAAAGAGAGTAAAAAGATTTAGAATGAAGCTACAAGCAGGGTAAAGAATCGAATTTTCTGCCATTTTCTTTTGTGATGATTCTTACATAGAACCAAAAAAAACAATGACAGCAATCAGGAGATAACTTAAAAATAAAGGAATTAAAAGCACAAAAGATGTATTTGGAAACTGTTTCCTGAAGACATTTATTTAAGATTTAAGTGGGCATTGTTCTTTAAAATGCCAATTAATTGACTGCAACCATAGTTCGAGTCAAGTTAAGAGAAAAGAGATGGAAAAAAAGACGACGCTCGAGGAAGAGGAACGTACCAAAACGCGCCACCCCGTTCAAAGGATCTGTTTGGTATTTGGTATTTGTTCCAGAAAGCCCAAAGCATGTGAACTATGGAGAAAGCAAATTTAAGATGTCAAAAACAAACAGATATTAGATTATTTCTGAAATTTTATTTTGCTAGCTGACCTACCTTATTTGATTTAATTAAAAAATAACTAAGACTTTTGTACGGTCTTAACTCTTAACAACCTTCTATTTCAAACTTGCTTTTAATTTTCGAGTTGTCTCACGAAATGAGGACTAATATACGATGCTACTAGAAATATAATAAGTTATTTAATATAGTCAGTTTAGCGCTATCGGAAATGTTGAGTAATAATAATGTTATAGGTGGAAATCATGAAGAAATATTAAAAAATTTAACAACCGGTAAACTTATCTTGTCGGTACGTATCAATATCATTCAAATATGTATCGATACATAACAATATAACAGGTAAAAATATGATAAAATCAGGTTCAATATGACAAAACCGATAAAGCGCTACCAGATATGTTGAAGGTATCGATTCCATTCAAATAAGTATCGATACTTATGAAATTTAAAAAAAAACAATAATAGTGCCTATAAAGTATCGATATTTTATAAACATGTATCGATACGTAACAATATAAAATGTAAAAATATGACAAAACCGGTTTCATTATGACAAAACCGGTAAAGCGCTACCAGATATGTTGAAGGTATCGATTCCATTTAAATAAGTATCAGTACTTATTGAATTTTAAAGAAAAGTGATAATAGCGCCTATAAAGTATCGATACGTAACAATATAACAGGTAAAAATATGACAAAATCGATTTCATTATGACAAAATCGGTAAAGCGCTACCGAATATGTTGAAGGTGTCGATTTCATTCAAATAAGTATCGATACTTATGGAATTTTAAAGAAAAGCAATAATAGCGCCTATAAAGTATCGATATTTTACAAACATGTATCGGTACGTAACAATATAACAGGTAAAAATATGACAAAGCCGGTTTCATTATGACAAAACCGGTAAAGCGCTACCGGATATGTTGAAGGTATCGATTCCATTCAAATAAGTATCGATACTTATGGAATTTTAAAGAAAAACAATAATAGCTCCTATAAAGTATCGATACTTTATAAACATGTATCGATACATAACAATATAACATGTAAAAATATGAAAAAATCGGTTTCATTATGACAAAACCGGTAAATCGTTACCAGATATGTTGAAGGTATCAATTTCATTCAAATAAGTATCGATACTTTTGGAATTTAAAAGAAAAGCAATAATAGCGCCTATAAAGTATCGATACTTTATAAACATGTATCGATACGTAACAATATAACAGGTAAAAATATGACAAAACTGGTTTCATTATGACGAAACCGATAAAGCGCTATCGGATATGTTGAAGGTATCGATACTTTAATAAGTATACGTAAAAAATTATCGATATTTTTAAAGGAGAAAAATGAAAACCTATCGAAAGTATCGACTCCTAACATAAAAGTATCGAGACTTGATAATTATATCAATTAACTATAAATAATATATCCGGTTAAAATATCAAAGACATAGCTAAATTTCCTTTGAAAATAAATAGAACACGACCGTAGTTTTCGAAATTGAAGCGTAATTGTTGTTGCATTTCAGAATGCGTTTTTAAAGTAAAGTTTGTTTGTTTGTAGCTACAGTCAAATCGAAAAGTACATTGTCGAAACCCTAGTTTTTTATTATTACAGTAATCGAAAATAAGGGTTTTATGTGTTTGGGGATTTCGAAGTAAAGAAGCATTTGAGACCGATTACAGATAGAAAGTGATATTCTAGGTAGATGATAAATATCGATACTTTTATATAATATTAAAGGTAGAAAATGATATTGTAGGTTGTATAAATGTATCGATACTTGTAGTATTGAGTATTCACATTCGTTTGAAGAAAATAGAGATTAGGGTTTTTGGGTTTGGTTTGAGGATTTCAAAGCTAAAAAGGATTTGAGACCGATTATATAATATTATAGGTTGAAAATAAATATCAATACCTGTATATAATATTATAGGTAGAAAATGATATTGTAGGTTGTATAAATGTATTGATACTTGTAGTAGTGGTCATTCAAATTCTTTTGAAGGAAATCGTTTTACTACAAGAGTAGTTATCGATATTTGTATATTGAATAAAGTGTATGTAACCAGTATTTGATTTTGATTTGCGTAAACTGATATATGAAGGAAAAATGAAGTCAACGGATCTTGCAATTATTGTTCGATGAAATGGATACTATCCGGAAGTTATTCTTCACATATCCAAACATATCAGCGTTGTTGGTTGATTGGCCGAGATTTTATATCCATTACGTCTTTGTATTGAAACACATACTACATGTATCTATATTTTATATTTGAGAAGTGTTGAAATATCAATACTAGTTATTAATGTATTTTATATATGCGTGCAAATGTATCGATAAACATTATTAAAGTATCGTTTCTATAATCTCGACAACAAAGTTTACATACTTTGTTATCGAAATTGGTAAAAATTTAAGAAAACGGTAAAATTTTTAAACAATCGATTAAATATAACAGATTGAAAATTGACACAACCGGTTTCTATAATTGCGCCTATAAAGTATCGGTACCTAAGAAACATATATCGATACATGACAATATAACAGGTTGAAAATTGACAAAACCGATTTCAAAATAAATAACTTAACAGGTTAAAATTTGACAAAATCAGTTTCCATAACTGCGCCTATAAAGTATCGATACACTTATGAAAAGTATCGATTCTTATAACTTCGAAACCGATTACTTTAAAGTATAGATTAATATACAATGTAAGTTGTAAAAATATTCTGGTTTAATGGTAAAATACGTTTACATAAAGTATCGATACTTTTTGTATATGTATCGATACTTTTTGTCCAGTATGCTTCCCAAACTGGATGAACCTAGGAAGTATCGATACCTATGAAACATGTATCGATACAAGACAATATAACATGCTAAAAATTAATAAAACCGGTTTCAATATGACAAAACCAGTAAATAGATACCGATTTTGAAAATAACCAAACGTCTCGCAAGTATCGATACCAAACATAAAAGTATCGATACACATATGAGAAGTATCGATTCTTAAAACTTCGAACCGATTACTTTAAAGTAATAGGTAAATATACAAAGTAAGCTGTAAAAATATACCGGTTTAATGGTAAAATACTTTTACATAAAGTATCGATACTTTTTGTATATGTATCAATACTTTTTGTACAGTATACTTCTTTAAAAATAGGCTCAATCAGCTTAGACTTTGGTAACATTTTAGGCGTTACATAATACGTTGATAATACTAATAACAAATTCGGTAATTAACCTATTTTGTTATCGTCGGATTTCCAAAAGCTCTATCGCTTAAAAAGGACTACCTATATTACGTTATATAAGTGCTATCTAATATGTTATTATGTTTGATAATGTTTCCAGTAATTAACTGGTTATGTTATCGTCAGATTTCCAAAGCTCCATCAGCTTTAACAAGGCGCTACCTATTACGTTATATAAATGTTACCTAATATGTTATTGTGCTTGATAATGTTTCGAATAATTAACCGGTTATGTTATCGTCTATATATTTTTGGCGCATTTTACATTGGACGATAACATAACTAGTTAATACCGTTTTTATTACCAACTCAAATAATATTTCCGGTTAAATCATATAATATTTACGGTATAGATTTTAACCAGTCACTTGTTTAACCAGTCACATCGTTTTTTAGCTGTTTTTAACCGTCTCACAGCAGAATTTCCCATTTTCTTTTATTTTTCTTTATTCAAAAGCTTTAGAGAAAAGAAAAACATCTCTCGACAAAACTAATCTATTTAATTTTTTTTAAATCAGTCTGCATTATTGATAAATAAATATAGAAAAAATAAAATTAATGAAAAATAGATTTTAAAAAATAAAAGTATAAAGATGAAATGAAATGAAATATTTAGAGAATTAGAGATATTAAACAGTACATGAAAAAATTATTGACTATTGTAAGTGTTTTCAATGGTACTCGTCGTCCCCTATTGATCTTTATGTTTTTGTTTTCTAATTGAAATTCGTCGGGGGCTTTCCATTATAAACTTAATTGCCTTGAAAAATCATAAAAAGTTAACTCAATAGTACACGAAATACCATTTCATCATCCAATAAAACGACACCCTCTCAATTATCCCATCAACTTTTTTTTAAAATAAAAACACAATAAGTTAACTCAATTTTTAATGAAAATCCTGAACTCCCCTCATTAATTGCATCGTAGGCATCAAAGAAGTCATTTAGTATGTTTTTTCATAAAATCATAAAAGTGCATAAAATATTTAAACACAAAGTTAAGATCGGTTGATTGAACTTAATTCTTTTCTAAATGCCCATGATCTTTCTTTATTAAAGGTTTTGTAAAAATATACTCTACTTAATGCAAAGTGTCTACATACTCTAGAACTATATATTTCTTGGAGATATGATCTCCAATGAAATGATGTCTAATTTCAATATGTTTAATTCTAGAATATTGAGCCTAATTTCATGCTTCAAAATTGTTCTTAATTCCTCTAGCAACATCTTGTTAATGAATCAAAGCTTGGGTTCTTTGGTTGCAATAAAAATGTTGGGTTTTCATCCAACTCTCACAGGAAAGGGTTTGGCTAAGCAAGGAGCTTCATTTCAAGAGTAAATCATCAAAGTAGTGTATTTCTATTCCTTTGGAGTATTAAGTTCCATAAATTTCAAGAAATTACTAAGATTTGAATATATGTTTAGGGTTTACCTTTGATTTCATGATCAAATCACGTTTTAGGTGTTAATAATGTGTTTCTAAGACACCTTAAGACCCTAAACAACTTACTAAAAATTTAGAACAAGATTGAAAACCAAACCAAGTTATTTAGGATGATTTTTAGG